ATATATATATATATAAAGTGGATGAAAGGGGAAGTTTTAGCCCCCGATCCTAAAAAAAATCGATCGTTCAAAAATTTTAATTAGATCGTTCGGGAGAAACGTTTGAAAAACAGATTTTTCTTATACGTTCGAAGCTTGTCTTTGACAAAAATGAAATTACAGACGATTCGGTTTAGTCAAATATTTTAAATATTCTTTTTATTATCCTTTTAAAGGCATATTACATCAGCTTATAGTTATAAGAAATAAAATTCATAACACCTTAAGGCCTGGTTTCTTAGGACAGGACGCCGTCAGCTGGAAATCAGCGCTAACCTTTGATTGGTCCATTTGTGAGTTTGATAGTATACGTCATCAAACGCTCATTTTGAACTACAATTGCCGTCCAACTCAACTGCAGTTGGATTACAACGGGACGTTAACCATCGAAGCAATGGCAGACAACATCCAACAGCACATTGAAATCAGCCAAGATTTTGATTTTGACATTAAACATAGCTTCTTCATTAAACATAGCACTCTTCATTTAGCTCAGCTATAATGTGTTTTTTCTGGGACAAAGTCATTATTTGCTCTCTAAAACGCTGGTCGACAATAACAAAATCAATATAAATTCAAAATAAATATTTGTTTACGTTATTAACGCATGCGCAATGAGAGATAATGTCTGCGTTGGACCAACTGCTCACGCTGAGCTAACAAAAAAGTATTTTTTTGGCGTCAGCTCTACGCCAACTTTCCGCTGACGCCCAGATTCTAAGGCGCTTGTTCTAAGAAACCAGGCCTTGAGCTAACAAACCAGTATTTTGTTGGCGTCAGCGGGATGTTGACGTCACGCTGACGCCCAGATAAGGCGCTTGTCCTAAGAAACCAGACCTTTAGATATTTAAGTATTTTTTATTCGTTATGTCAGATTAACCCAATGTTCAAACGTAAGTGTGGTAGCACAGGTGGTCTGCGTCATCAAATTGGCATTTTTAAAGTTATCTGAAACCACGTGTTTGTTTTGCTTATATTTATGCTTTAAAATGACGCTTTTATGAAATTATAATAATTTAAAATCAATGGTATCCGAAATAAGTGAAAAAAATGAGTTATGCCCTGAAAAGCAAAATTAATGGAGAAATAGTGTTAATCCGTTTAGGAGAAACTTAAAAAATCGGCATAATTGATTGAAATATTGCTTAATTAATTTTAATGATAGTTACTAATTAATTAATGAAGAAAATATTGCCTAATGTAAGGAAACTAAAAATATTATTTTATTTTTTAAGTACTAAAATTATGGTAAAAGTTCGTTACAACGATAACTCAGAATAGTAAAGTAAATTTTTTTAATTTTCTTTTCGTAGCAGAAATCTAGTAACTGCTGAAAAAGTTAAAAACTTACAACTTTCACATCATTAAAATAAGCATTTCAACAGTGACTTGGAAATTTGTCGCAATAGCGAACTTAATATTTCGTAATATTCCGTTCACGTTATATCCCGACTTTACTGTATTGATTTCATTTGTTTATTTATTATTATTTGAGAAATTTTCGTCGATGACTTTAAAAACATGTTTTGAGATAATGGCTTTTGAAATCTGAAGTTACTTTATCATCAATAAATAATTGTCGTTTCTAAAAACAGAATCATCGATATCATGTTTACACTCATTTAGAGATTACGAAAAGCTTTTATCGGTGGCTTATCAGACCAACCTTTCCCACTCGCTTGTCAATCGAAGTTAAGTGGCTTACATATCCTAATTAAGCAGCGTGTTAAAGTCTGCTGTCAAACCCTTCTCGAAATCGGCTATAATAAGTTTACGGATGGTTGTAAACAATAATAAGTTTTCTGAAACCGGAAGAAATTTTGAAAACTTCCGGTGTATTCCTCCGCTCATCTTATGTTTACGAGGCGATGCGTAAACAGGCTTAATATTTTAGGAAGTTCTATTATTGTAATTTGTGATTAAGTTTACGCATAATTTTAGCATTCATAAAAGTTTCCTGTAATTTACAAATTCTAACTGGTTGTAAGACTAAAATAAATTTAAGAAAATTGATATCAAAACATAAATAAATTTGCCAAGTTTTGAGTATTATCCCTTATTTGGCTATATTTGTGTAAAATATTATCGTTTGAAATTTTTTGGGTTGCATCGTAGAATGCTTGCGAAGTTTTTCGAACACATTTGTTGTTTGTTTCGTTGCAATTTAAATTGAAAGAATGCGTTATATTTCGTTGTAATTTAAATTGAAGGAATGCGTTATATTTCGTTGCAATTTAAATTGAAATAATGTGTTATATTTCGTTGCAATTTAAATTGAAAGAATGCGTTAGATTTCGTTGCAATTTAAAGTGAAAGAATGCGTTATATTTCGTTGCAAATAATGCGTTATATTTCGTTGCAATTTAAATTGAAAGAATGCGTTATATTGTAGACACTATTAGTATAATAATACTGGATGGTGCGCTTTTCCAAGTTTAGGCGTAAAAGTCAATCGGAAGTAATAACCCGGAAGTCTTACGACAAATTTTAACCCCAAAAGCCATCTGTGTTTAGCTTTACACAGTTAACCATCCATCGTTACACACACTCTCAAAAATAAAACTCTCACTTTTGGCGATTTTGCAATTCTTGAGCAATATTTCCTTACTTTTTATAATCTTGACGTGATCTTTGACGGAAATGTTTCCTCAACTCGATATCTTATCCAAGTGCAGAGGTTCCCAATTTGTTTCGTCAGCGGAATCCTAAATAATCAACCTTTTTTCAGCGGAAGCCCGACTTTATAAATAAAGTTTATTAAAGTAATAGTGAACTTTATAACCTATTAAAGACTATATTTAATTTAAAAAATGAAGATATTTCATCATTAATAATCTTAAATTAAGTTATCAAAGGTGAATCAGAAGTCGTCTTGGAGAAATCTTCAGAGGAAGGCATTGGCTCACATTGGGCTGTCTGGCCAACTATGATGATGAAATTAGGTGATATGTCCAACAGCTAAATTTGCAGTCTTTAGGCTATATCCAGTCTAGTGATGAATTTGTTTTTTGTATATATACAAAAGCTGAAAATGAATAAAATAGGCTAAATTATAATTTACTTCAACATGAAAAGAAAAACATGTATGTGACAGAAATCAAATTTAGCAAATTCCTAAATATTTTTAGAGCTTAAAAATAAATTAAAAAACAAATTAAAAGAGCAAGTGTGTGGACAGTACTAAATGCTACATAAAGAAAACAAATGCTTTATATGGTAATACGACAAGAAAATCCGTAGAAAATATCAAGGTAAATATAATGATACCGAATTAATTACTAATCATGAAAAAAGCCACGCTAAAAATTTCAATAATTAACCATGGAGATAGTAATCGCTATGTTGGTTTTCAATTATATTAGGAAAAATTACTTCTCGAAAAAAATTAGAGATATGATTCAAATATTAATGAAGCAAATTGTAAAATAAAATAAATAACTCAAAATAAAAAATAGACCAACCAGAATAACTTTTGATCTAATGATCGTATCTTCATATTCTACGGCTCATTCTTAATGATTCGAAAAACTGATTTCAAATATGCTAATTAATTAGTGCAGACGACATGTTGAGTTACGAAATCAGACATAAAAACGTACTTTCTTGGAATAAACATACCTTTTTTTCAAAAAGATTCGGATTTCTGACATTCAAAATAAAGGTAGTCACACAATCTGGGAAATTTGGTCCCCATAGTTTGGTCAGAAGAGCTAGCTGTACAAAGGTCTTGACCCCTTAATGTTAATTTTATTTCTTGCGTATTTTATCGTTTCTTGAGAAATTTGTAAGCGTATTGAAAATTTTTTGCACACAATTATAAAATTCGTTTAGCCAAAGATAATTTCATGAAAAATGTAACTTTCAGTAAATATTTATTATTTTTCATTATTTTATTCAGCAATAGTAAAAAGAATTCAAATTGCAAGATAACTAATATTTTAACATCATTTTAACGAATGTAAATTTACATACAAATACAAAATTCGAACGAAATCGATCGATTAATATTAATTCCTGAGAAATCAAATTTTTAAAAAAGCCGTATTTTTAAAATTCAATCAATTTCGTTCAAACTCTGTATTTTTTTGTATGTAAAATTACATTCGTAAAATTATGCAAAAAATATTATTTACCTTGCAAGTCAAAATTCTTCGACCAATATTAAACAAAATAATCAAACCAAACTATCCGACCAAACTATCCAAGATTGCGGCACACCGGATACTACTACTACACGATCACGCGATGCCAGACCAAAGGTATTTTTTTTAAAATCTGCTTTTTTTCCTCGTTGTGTATTTTACTGCAATTTTTGCACACGCAAAAATTTGAAACAATGATTGGCAATCAAACAGAAAATCATATATGGCGATGCTTGTCATGAAGATAATAATTCAAATTTATTTTTGGACAATATAAGTCCATGAAATAGAACAAAAAAAAGTATAAAACATTATTGAATTATATCGAGCACAGGTACATTAGAAAATTTCCTTTTCGAACAGTTGTTACGTGTTGCAATTTTCCTGATTCACTGTGAATTGGTAAAAATGAGAAGGCTTTATCATTAAAATCAAAATAATATATTCAGTTTTGGAACTTTTTGTTCGACGTCATTCAACCATCTGAGTCAATAAGCGTATTCATGAAAGGTACAAAAATAATTGCTCTTGGATTATCCTTTAAAATAAGTAGTATAATTGTAAAAATGTGTTATTTTCATAGCGCTATTGAGAATCCATGCTGACAAACTAATTTGATTTGGTTGGAAATGAACTTCTTACTGTTAGTGGTACTACATGCATATCCATATTCAGTAGTTTATAGTGATATTTCAAATGATATAAATAATGACATAAATAATGAAATTAATGATATAAATAATAATATAAATAATGAAATTAATGATATAAATAATGATATAAATAATGATATGGATAATATTGCAAATTTCATAGAAGATCCAGATATTAACCGAAATGTTGTAAGTATGTTTAAACTTTTACTTTATTTGCAATTTAATTGTAAGTGATTAAGAGTTATAGAAAAAAAAATTGGTATGGTACTTTGTTAATAGAAATAATTTCAACATCTAACTTTAAAAACAGTATAAAACCAATTATAGATACAAGAAATGGTATGGTACTTTGTTAATAGAAATAATCCCAACATGTAACTTTTAAAACAGAATAAAACCAATTATAGATACAAGAAATGGTATGGTACTTTGTTAATAGAAATAATTCCAACATGTCACTTTAAAAACAGGATAAAACCTATTATAGATACAAGAAATGGTATGGTACATTGTTAATAGAAATAATTCCAACAGCTGACTTTGAAAACAGGATAAAACCAATTATAGATACAAGGAATGGTATGGTACTTTGCTAATAGAAATAATTCCAACATGTAACTTTTAAAACAGGATAAAACCAATTATAGATACAAGAAATGGTATGGTACTTTGTTAATAGAAATAATTCCAACATGTCACTTTAAAAACAGGACAAAACCAGTTATAGATAAAAAGAAATGATATAGCACTTTGTCAATAGAAATAATTCCAACATCTAAACTTAAAAACCATGCACATGAGAGGGAGAAGGGGTATCGTGGTCAATATTTTATAAATTTGAATGAAAAGCTTTTTATTTATTAATTTGGACACATCTAGTATTTTTTTATTAATAAAATTTGAACATTTATTGTTATTTTAAATTATACATATGCTAATTTGGAAGAAACTTAAAAAAAAAAAAAGATGTTTTATTACACATTAGCTCTATGTCTGGTATAGACAATTCATAGGGATGGAATGGTTAATTATTTAAGCTATTGTTTCTTATCAAAAGCTTTTAAAGTCGAAAGGAGCTATATTTTTAAATAATCTTAACAATGTGCAATTTACTTAATGCTTAATAAATGCACAAATTCCAATTTCTATCTTTTAAGCGAGAGATTTTTCTGGAATATTTAAAGTGGTAGTAAATGTTACCCTTTGCTATTTCACTTTTTGGTTTAACTAAGTACATTTACAACGATTAGACTCTCACTATAAATTGACTCCGTTTGTTTAAATGAGTGTTGTTGTTACTTATGTTATTTGCCAATCACCAAGCCTGTTTGAAATCAAGCTAATTTTTAAGACATGGGGTGTCGCTTTTTTCAGTGGCACCATCTATGGCCAAGAACAAGACTTCAGCCACTCACACGGTGCAACCCAATATTCCATTCATTCAACCACGACCATATTTTTGACTCAAACTAGAGAAGGATCCAATGCAGTATGCCCAGAGGTATTGATTTGTTATGCGAACTTGAAGACTTGAACCAATTATTGATTTATCTTGAATATATAAAATGGGAGAAAATATTACTCTTTACCATTTATGCAGTTGATTTAACCATCGTGACATCAAAACAATTACAAAGCTGTCAACTTTCAACGATTTTTGGAGAACATTTTTCGATTTTCCCGAAAACATTTTACAAACGGGGACAACGCAGCTGATAACTCAGATAGATTTTTAACATATTGTTAAACGAGGATTATTTCTAAGTATTAGCGCGTGTGTGGTCAGCATTTTTTTCGAGAAATGAAAAAAGGGAAGTCCTGTTAATATAAAAAGTCCAGATCCTCCATTGTACAGAATATATTTTCGTTTTTTTTTTTAAAAAAGCAAAGAAGTAAGTTTTTGAATGTTCTTTTAGAAATTTTGTGACCAGTTTTTTAGTTTTTTGTGGACACTGGTCACTTTATGCATGTTAGATTTTCTTGATCACCACAAAGGTTTGGAAATTTATTGCATTTATATGTAGATGTCAGGCCTGAATAGCCGCTTGTTGGTAGAGCGTTGGGACCTTGTCCAAGAGGTTGTGAGTTCGAACTCCGCAGGCCGAAGACTCCACGTATACAAAATGGTAAGTGGTGCGGGCTAAATCTGTTGGGGTCACCAAGTCCTCTACGATCGCATAACAAATTAATAAATCTGGGGTTGCTGGATTAGAAATAGATCGTGTTCTGGTTTAGGTCAAAACTACGATATGCGGATGGAATGTTAGTGAGTGAATATATCCTCCCTGTAAAATGGAATGTGACGTATGTGTGTGGCAGAATTTGAATTCTTGTCCATAGATGGCACCACTGGAAAAAGAAGTGCACCCTCAGCCTTAAAATAGGCTTGTCAATAGTGACATGTGGCATAAGACGAAGACAAAAGTCTGATATATGATAGATGAATATTATCTAAATTAAAGTAGTTGCAAAATTAGAAAAACTAAAAGTTGCTTTGGAGAGTAATTCAGAACCACTTGAACTTTTTTTGTCAGACCTTTGATAGCTCCGCCTATTGAAAATCGTCACGAACTTTCTGGACGAATCAATAAGTATGATAATTATACGATTTTGTGTTACTGCTCGTACAGGAGGAGAAATATATATCTGCATATGACTGTAATTGAGCCGTGGTTGCTCAGGTAATACAGCGTTCACCCCCTAATGAGGTGAACCGAGTTCAAAATTAAGCAATGACAGGTTAACCTGAATTCCGCACTCGGCTCTCACCGACCACAGTGCTGACATAAAATGTCCTCAGTAGTAGACGGATCATGGGTTAGAGTCCCCTTACCGTCAGGTTAACAGTGGGACGTTTTCGTGGTGCTCCTCCTCAAATGCTGCGTAGTTCAACGTCTCCCATAACTGAAGCCCCTACACGGTTTCTCCTAGGTAGTCCGATCAGACCACTATGAAGGTAAATCAGTTTTCGTAAGAGCCATTCAATGGAAAATCTAGTAAAAATAAGAAAGCGGCAGCAACTACATGTCTAAAAATTTGTTTAATTTATGAATATGATTGGCTTGTCTTGTTTACTTGTTAACCACTACAGATTCAATTCTCAAATATATATGATAAATTTTTCTTACTTTTAAAATGAAAATTGTTTATGTGCTCACAACTGGTGCACTTTTAAATAGTCTGCGCAGACTGCTTATAAAAAAACCAACAAACCGCGTGGAGGCTTTCTGAGGTAGGAGGAGAGGGTTAGTTCCATCTGTCCCTGCTTGATCCAGGGGTTCCCTTGTTCTCTCCATTGGATTTAATATTACAAGGAGTTGAACTTAGATGGTCAAAATTGTGTTGGTTGTTCAACGACGATTATAAAATAAAATGCGATTAATTTAGTTTCAATTTTATTACCCTTTGGGAAGAACCATCCTCAAAAAGAATAAGAATTAGCTGGAATGCTAGCAGACCTTTCTATAAGTATGCTAACATTCTTGAAATGTAACGGAGGTCAAAAACTATTAAAAAATTGGATAAATTGTTGTTGTTGTAGTTCATTTACGCTGCACAATGGGCTATTGGCGACGGTCTGGGAAACATCCCTGAGGATGACTCGAAGACACGCCATCACAATTTTGATCCTCTGGGGAGGGGATGGCACCCCCGCTTCAGTAGCCCGACGACTGCACTCGAAGTCGAGCACTTTACGGTAGAACCGTTTAACGAGGCCCCATACCGCACACCCTCGGTCCCTACGCAGACTGATCCAAAAGGGTCACCCACCCGCACACTGACCGCAGCCAGAGATGCTTCACTTCGGTGATCTGCTGGGAACCGTGAAAAAATTGGTTAAAACAAAAATAAAGTATGAATGTAGAAGTTTTGTTGCTACATCAATTATAAAAATAAAATATGACGCAAAACTCTGAAGAGTTATTGGTTGGTGTGTAAGAGTGTGTTTGAGGGATTTGGAATGCCCATGGGATATATACATAAGATTTGTGTATTTAGAACGTAATGCGCACCTTTCTCCATACAATTGACCGAAATTTAAATCTCATTTTAAAGGTCACTTCCACATAACGTATGCACTAAACTTCATTGGTATACGAGAACCAAAATAACGTTATTTATAAACACATAATTTAAGTCAAACTTCATTTATATCTCCAGACTGAATTGATTACTTCCAAAGGGTATCCAGTTGAGAATCACTTTGCGTACACAGAAGACGGATACGAGCTTTCTCTACAAAGAATACCATATGGCAAATTAAACAAGGAGACAGGGAATCGAAAACCGGTTTTGCTACAGCACGGACTGATGCAATCTTCCGCAGACTGGGTGATTAATTATCCTCACCAAAGTCTTGGTAATTGTACATTTTCATTGTTATGTTGTGTAATTCTTATATTTACATTCTTTATATATGTATATATATAATATAGAGAGAACATGGAAAAATAAAATAAAGATTTATGGAAAGAAAAGAAGAAACATTACAAAAATGAACAATATTTAAGAATTTTATTTAAAAAAAATTAAAAAGTTTAAAAACAAAATAATGAAGAGATATAATCTCGTTATCAGCTCACACGATTATATCTGCAAAGAGGAGTGCTTTCCAATATTGCGTAAATATATCCAATATCGGATAAATGGGACAATTCTATATAGGGACAATAACCTTATTGAGTCAAGATTCGTAAATATTGGTCCAATGATGGCTCAAGTTATTTTGCAGCTAGTGAAAGGCAATGTTTTTTTATTATCCTTAAAGATATTATATAAAATAAACTGGTATATTTGTATATTTTTTACATTTCAGGTTTCTTACTGGCAGATAATGGTTACGATGTATGGCTGGGAAATACAAGGGGCGGTGCCTATTCGAGACAACATCTTAACTTTCAAACAAACTCAAAAGATTTTTGGGATTTCAGGTAAACATTGGAAAATTTTGAGGGTAAATAAATGTAATTTTTTTGAAAATATAACCATTCAGTCATTAATATTTTGCAATGTGCAACAAGGTTCAAAAATTTCATTAGCCCGAGGACTGTAAAAATTTGTTTTGCATGACGTACTTCGAACTCTTACGTGCCCGGCAGCGTATGCAAATATTCAATCAGATAAGGTAAAATATCGATTAAGTGCTACATTAAATTTCACAAATACAGGGAAGACGTCGGATGGGCTGGATATACGATACTTTAGCTAATAGTGTATTAGTGAAAGTGTAATAATCCATTTGCTCAATTGAAGCTCTTTGTGCAAAACAAATTATAATAACTCCTTTAATGTGCTCTTTCTCAATCATGTGCTTAAGACTTTTTTTGTAAATAATACTTATTTAATCTTTAACCAAATAATTTTGATTTGTGCTTAAAGGTGTTGATATACAGAATTTTCAGCGGCTGATTCAAAAATAAAAGAAAAACATTGATAAAGGAATGAAACAAACTGTATGTACATTGCGAAAAGCTGTATATATAATTATGACCACCCTCCATCTATAACAATGGGCTCGCCCAGGTTTTCATTGTTTCTCTACCCAGGAACAATGTCTTCATGGGGCACATTAAGACCCATAATCTCATGGAACAATCTCTGACGTCTGTAAGCTACTTGAGCATAGTTGCAGACCAGGTTCACACACTCATGGCAATAGTTTTTCCTGCAGGGATGATGTTTACCAACAGGATAATGCACCATGTCATAAGGGTCAAATCGTCGAGGAACATTCTAGTAAATTCAAGTCATGTCTTGGCCCCCAAATTCACCTGACTTTAATCCAAGAGAGCATTTGTGGTCCTACTTGTGGTCTTACTTGTGGATTACCTATCAGCACCTTGTGGAATCAATGCCATGGCGGGTGCTAGCAGTTTTGAGGGCTGAAGGTGGTCCTACATTTTATTAGCAGGGTGGCCATAATGTAATGGCTCTTCGGTGTATATATATATATATATTATACCTCCCTGAAATGTGCTATTCTTGTTTCCATAGCAGCAGACGGCTTGAGACTTTGTGGCGGGTGGAGTTCTTACCGTATACAAACTATAGAAATGTTTTCATTATTGTTAGTGTTATATAGTATAGTGTTTTCATTATTGTTATTAAACGTATTTTTAGAATTTTCCCTCCCCATCTCCATTCCTTAAATAGTTGTGTCCGGTCGAAAGCAGACTAGTATAATGGATTGTGTTTTCTACTAAAGAGAGTGCTAAAAACTCTTGACTGCCTATACTCCCGGGTTACTGTTTGCGGTGTGTTTTGAAGTCATTTGGCACACAACGCGATCATCGTGTTTTGTGATTCTCTTGAGTGGTATTTTTTGTGTACTTGTGTTTTTTAACTGATTTATTATTTGTGTTTAAAAGAAGAATCGTCATTTGAAGACGTAAGAATTGTCATTTAAAAAAGGAATCGTTATAAAACACTTCTTTCCTTGTTAACAATATACCAACTTCGAAATTCAAACCTAAACGATAATTTGCAGAATGAATTTAATCTCTCTCCTCTAACAATATGCTAACACTAACATATGATGGGGCACGGCTTGCACCAAGAACAAACAGTAAAATGACGCCAAATCAGAATTTCCAAAAAAAGCGAGTTTTTCCTAAATCTAGAAACCATGTCATCTTTTTTTAACATTGCATATCTAAATAGCTAAACTGATTTTTACTTCAAAATTATCAGAATTACTTAATATCATTATTATCTTATGAAATATAGCAGATTTTATGGAAAAAAATATAATCTGTTTGAAAATATAACCTAAATGAGCTGCAGTAAGCGGCTGTAAAACAGGTCAAGAGATCAAGATTGATATTAAAAACGTCATCATGTACACGAAAGCGGGAACGCCGTTCGCTGAAAAATTTGTCACCATCGCTCAAAATGTCTTACTAATACTAAAAAAAAAAAAGAAAAAAAAATATGCCGCTTTAAAGAAAGTTTGTTTTTTTCGAATTCCCGAGGGAAAAAATCATTTTTACTCTTTTTTCTACCAATGCAAACTCAATTTAAAATTATATTCACATTGATTTTAAATCACACATCGCTATTCTTATTTACTCGATTTAAGATCGCACATCGCGTTTCGTATTTTTACGATTTTATATCAAATATCGCGTTTCGTATTCAAGTGATTTAAAAGCCACTGTTATGATTCGTGTTCAAGTGACTAAAAAATTATACATCAGAATTTGTATTTACGCGATTTTAAAATCAAACTTCAAGATTCGTATTTACCCGAATTCAAAATCAAAAACCGAGATTCGCATTCACGCGATTCTAAAATGTCGAGATTCGTATTCGCATGGTTTAAATATCACACGTTGAGATTCATATTCACACAATTTAAATAAGTAAATAAAATCTTTCGCATCGATATCTTAATTAAAACTAAGGTAACACTCTGTAACTCCAATAACAGTTTTTCTTACTGAAGTTTCAGATATTTTTTCAATTATTTTAAAAGTTTTTTGTGTGCATATTTTTGGATGTCTATTTTCAGCTTTTGGGGGGTATTTTACCAAACCTATCCCTGTGGTATGAATCTGTATAGAGTTATTATAAAATGAAAAGAATATTCGTGATTATATTAATGAATTATCAATATGTGCAGAAAGTTTTGAGATTTTGTGTTCGAAAAATGTTTTTCATTTTACATCAGAGGTAAAAGACCCCTTAATCCTAATAGTGTGTCCTACCTCATTCAGAAGCTTAAAACTGTTCTCCTGAATTACCTACTATATTTAATTGCTGATTGTTTTCTTTTAGCTTTGATCAGATGGCCGAATATGATTTGCCAGCTATGATTGACTATATTCTCAATACAACAAAAGAAGACAATCTGGTATATATTGGCCACTCTCAGGGGACCACCATAGCTTTTGCTCTTCTGTCTGAAAGACCTCTTTACAATGAAAAGGTAAAAATAAAGTCTCAATAACAATTGACTGCAGCTTCCACAACAGAAATATTTTTCCATTCAGAGATTTTAATATATTTAAGTGTATCCTATATCCTATCACCACCGTCACGCAACTTGATTGGCTCCTGATTGGAACCTGATTGGACCTGGTCGCGGCATCTGTTTTGCAACGATTCGGCAGCCAATCAGATTTGAAGCTAAAGCATGACGTCACTTTTAGGTACCCAATTAAATCTGATCGGAAAATTGATTCAGAGTGATGATAAACTAACCCTAATAGATGTAACAGTAAAACGCCATCTTGTTTATATTTTGGTCTTGGGTTGTCAATAATGTTCGCGATATTATCGTTATCGATGATTATTGAAATGCATCATAAAAAATAATGCTCACGATATTCTTTTTCCTTATTTCCAGATAAAGTTGTTTGTGGCACTAGCACCAGAAGTAGAAGTTAGCCACGTGAAGTCTATAGTTAGTTACCTCGTCCCTTATTTTGAGTATATCGAAGTAAATGTAATCTCTATCTGAATTTTTTTTTTGGTTTGATATCGCTGTAGTTTTCAGAGTCACTAACATTAGCATATATTTTTTCGTTTAAAGAGTATCATGAATACATTTGGGGTGTATGAATTCATGTCAAACAATCCAGCCCAGCAGTTCATCACCCGGAACCTCTGCGCCTCGAAGTCTGCATTCATTTGCGAAAATATCATGTATATGGTTTTTGGTAAAGATAGTGAGCAATATAATCAGGTACTTTCTTATATTAGTTTAAAGAGAAAATGTTTATTCATTATGCCAATTTTTAAGCTGATAACATTAATTAATTCTTTAATATAATTTTTTTCTTACCGTCGTTGAACAGCAGACCCAATTTTTGAGTTTACGACAAACTGTGTTCAACTCTGTATAGCCTTATAATTTTGAACCCGATCCAAAAGACAAGGGAACTCTCGGATCAAGTATTGGGAGAAATTTTCCTGCATGGAGGACTTTCTTGAAAAAACTAACCCACATTTGCGTTGCACGGAGAGGAAAGGCACAAAAACCTCCTACGGTTAGCCTGATTCTAACCCATGATACCTCCATCACTGCGGGTATTTTACGTCAGCACTGTGGACGGTGCGGAATTCGCGTCAATCAGCCAGCCACCGCTGGGATTTGAATCCGGGTCACCTCATAGGGAGATCAGCGCTTTATCCCCCGAGCCACCCCGCCCCTTTTTGCCTTGCAAATAAAAATAATTCAAACTTCTATCATTTAACCCTTTGACGAAGATGGGACAATGATGACCCTTTTGTATGTATTTTTGGCACTCTTTAATTGGTATTTTTTAATTATAAAAAACAATCTAATGGTAGTTAAAAAATCTGACAGATTATCGGAATATAAAATATAAAATTTTACATACAAAAATATAAATACTGAATTATACAATATAAAACTAAAATATAAAAATCAAAACTAAAATATACTACTAATATATACTGCTAGTATAATCTAATATTAATAAATATAGTATATATAATTTAATATATATTATATACTAATATATATTAAAATACAAAATTTTTTTTAATACTATAACGTACTAAAATATTAAATACGAAAAATAAGTTAGAAATATTTATTTTATTCATATTCAAAAATTTATCAAAAATTTAATAAATTTCAATGGTGAATAACTGTTTCTTTTCCATCAAAAAAATTGCAAATTTGAAAAAAATTTCGTGCGGTAGTGAGCCGTGTTTTGAAGATTTTATCTTTATCGCCGAAAAAGACACCAGTGCTATATTTTATAACCATTAAATATTAAAATGCTAAGTATAATATTTTTTAATTAGTTCGACCTAAATTAATAAAATAATTAAAAAAGTATGAAAAATGTGTTTAATGAAAATTCTGCGTCAAAGGGTTATTGCAATTTTGACCATCCCTATGCATTATTCCTTACATATTCTTTCACAAAGATTTCAATTTTTTAACTTCATATTTCAACTCAAAGCCATGTCAAGGATAGACTCGAAGAACAAATTAATCAAGCATCAAGTTGCGAGCTACGCAAGACAAAAATATATCACGGTTAAAATAAAATACATGAAAATACATATCTAAGTTATGTAAAAGACGTAGACGAATTAAAATTCAACAAATTTGATGTACGAAAGAATTAAATTTCAACAAATTTGATGTACTATAAGGTACTGTATGTAATTAATTTCACGTTAATTAACACTCTACCTTATGCGGTGAGACTTAGCTCATCTTTAACACTCCATTTTGCTGATAAACTATCAGCTGGAGCCGTGATTGCTCAGGGGATAGAGCGTTCAGCTTCCAATAAGGTGAACCGGGTTCAAATTCCGGCAATGGCTGGTCGATACGAATTCCGTAACTGGCTTGCATCGACTCCAGTGCTGACGTAAAATATCCTCAGTTGTATCATGGATTCGAGTTCCCTTGTCTTCAATCTAACCGTAGGAAGTTTTCGTGGTTTTCCTCTCCATGTGACGCAAATGCTGGTGAGTTCCATCAAAAAGTTCTCCACGAGGGCAAATTTCTCCGAATACTTGATCCATGAGTTTCCTTGCCTTTTGGATTGGGTTGAAAATTGCAAGGATTCGGAGTTAAACATTAGCAGTCGTAAACCCAAAATATTGGGTCGGCTATTCAAAAGATGGTTATAAAATAAAATAAAACTATCAGCTGGCTCTGACGTCATCGGTCAATCGAAAGTTCTAGCTGCTTTTAGTCAGTTTTGAACCACTTATATTTTCTTTGCAGTGACGTGTGTGTACGATTCATTCCATTGCTTTTAGATAATTATTTATCAATTCCTTAATCCTTATTATTTATCAATTAATCCTCCACTTTAGGAATAAAATGTATTTTTTGGGAGATTTTAGCAATGTGTGGTCAATCAATTTATGCAATTTATGAATAAATTTGAAATTGTTTATTTTTTATTTGAGTGTTCTATCATTAGTTATTTATTAGAAGAACTAGGTAAAGTGTAACATTTTTCATTTATTATATACTTTAACATACTTGTCTAGTTATATTATGAAATACCTAGTTGTTCTATGAAACAAATGACTTTAACGGTAACAAATACACTATCCCGTCAAAAGTATCCGGGCACCCAGTGGTATGGACTTAGAGTGCCTTGAGGCACATATTAATATGATGTTGGTCCCCCTTTTGCATCGATGGCTGCCTGCACACTTCTCAATGGACATTCCACCAGCTTTTGATAAGTGACCATAGGAATTGACTTCCAGGCTTCCATCTCAGTTGAAGTGAGTGCTTGCAGTGAAGAGGGTCAATTTGGCTGGCTACGTAATTTGCAATTTAATTCGTCCCAAAGGTGTTCTATGGGATTTAGATCGGTGCTTTGAGAAAGCCAGTCCAGTTTTTGAACACCCATCTTGTCAAACCACGTCTGTGCAAGTGTGTGAATGGGGCTATTATCCTGCTGGACGAGAAATGAGCCTTCCCCAAAATATTGCCATAGAGTTGGTAATGCAGCATTGTCCAGACCTCAAAGTTCATGTTTCAAACCACGGGAAACTAACTGACCCAGGCCAAACCACTAGAAGCATGCCCACACCATTATGCGTCCACCACCATAACAACCGAGTGTCCGGATCCTTTTGCTTTTGGCCAGATAGTATATATATCCACACACACACACACACACACACACACACACACACATACACACACACA